GGCACCACCGTAGCCGAGAGGCTGGAGTTGTGCATGCATCTCTGCTGCTGCCCACCAGGTTCTCTGGGGCTGGGGGTGGCTGGCTCAGCTGCTGTGGCCAAGGGGCCAGGATCCTGGGCGCTGCCTCCACTGTTCCCCAGGTTGCTGCCTCTCTGTCCTCCACTTCGCTCACCTTTGTATGTACTGATGTGTGAATCTCTCTGGCATTGTGGTATGTTGGGGAAAATAGCCTTGGTTGAGTTATGGGTGTTTTACTGGCTGTAGATTTAAAGGGATTATCTCATGCCACCGTGAGGATGATGTCTGAGTCATCTCTTGATTCATCCAGTGTTTACTGATCATCCACTGTGTCCCTGTGTGGACCACTTACTGCACGGTGCCGGATAATCTCTGAAGATAGAAAATAAAGTCATCGTTTCCTGTCCTCCAAGGGTGTAGAGCCTGCCTGGACATTAAGTACATGTCTCTACAAGCAAAGGCCCAAGGTGACTGGGCACAGGAGGATAGAGGCAGGACTGGGCCAATGCCCGGGAGCCCAGAGAAGGCACTTCAGGTTGCAGCAGAGCATGAGAGGTGGTGACATTTGACATGGGCCATGAAGATTGAGAGATATCTTTTAAAATTTTTTGGTGAGGAAGATTGGCCCTGAGCTAACATCTGTTCCAATCTTCCTCTTTTTCTTGAGGCAGATTGTCACTGAGCTAACATCTGTTCCAGTCTTCCTCTGTTTTATGTGGGATGCTTGATGAGTGGTGCTAGGTCCACACTCAGGATCTGAACGTGCAAACCCTTGACCAGCGAAGCAGGGTGCATGAACTTAACCATTATGCCACTGGGCTTGCCCCAAGACTGAGTGAGATTTTCACTGGAGTGGATGGAGAAAGCATATTCCAGGAAGGGACCACCAAGCAAAGAGAGGAGGCCCCAGCCATGACTGCACCATCAGTGACTATCTTCTGGCTGGTCACTCTGGGGAAGGGGATGGAGAGGACAAAACTGGCTCCCCGCCTGTCACCTCTGTGGTCTGTATTGGGGTTGTGCCTCCTGGTCGTGTTGTGCACATTCCCAAACCCACAACTGCTAGACGCTGTTGGTGCAGGTTAGTGTTTTGCATTGAAATGTGTCCTTGTTTTTCGGTGGCTTCACTGCCTCTTAATATACTGTTTCAGACACTGTTGCATCCCCCTGCCCCACGAGCAGCATTTCTGGGATATTTTGCAGATATGGGATGTTTTGAGGGAAGAGGCCTGGCCATCCCACAGAAGTCAATTTCTCTTCATCCTTTTGCATCCTGTATTCTGGAACTGGTGCAGTGAGTTTGAGATGAAAGGACACATCCCACTTCCAGGCCCAGAAGTTTGACAGTGTATTATCTCTGTTCTGGAGAAGAGGGCAAGTGAAGTTGTTCTGATAATTTTCTGGTGTTTCCAGCTCAGCCCTCTGTCTTAGCAGAGAACACTTGTTAATTATCAGAGGCTCCTCCTCACAGCAAGAGAGGAGAAGGAGAGGTTCCTCCAGATACTCATTAATCATAAGACATGCTGGGGTTGGGTGGTCAGGAGGAAGGGTAGTACCGTTATCCATCTGCAGACAGACTCATAGCTGAGCAAAATGACCTGGTGGCCGCACTGGGAACCACAGATGGATGACAAAGTTAGCCCTGGGTTCTCCAGTGCCTGTGACTGGCTCATGGTGTTCCTGGGCCAGCGATGATTCTCTTCCCACCCTGCCTCCGTGTGCGCTCATGTCCAGCCTCCTAATCAGGCCTTCAGTGCAGAGCCATCCCCTGTGCATGCCGCCAGGTCAGTAGTAACGACCCGTGTCTCCTGCTGGCGGTGTTGGCAGGGTGGATGAGGAGGCCAGGCAGAGCCAGGTTGGGTAGGGTTCTCTGCAGGCATGGGGAGATGCGGAATAGAGGCTGCTGGTGCCACGTGTGCACTGGCCCTAGTGGGACAGAGGGGCTGCTGTGTGGACAGTGAGTGGACAGAGCTGAGTGTCACATCCTTCAGCTTTCTGGATGGCCTATGACACGCTGGAGCGTGGGTTGAAAGGCATATTCAGATTGAGTTGTGCCCCAGCTGTAGCATGGATGTCTCGTCCCTGTAGAGAGGCTGGAGGAAGAGCGAGGGAGCAGGTGGCCTCTTGCATTAGGCCCTGTGGAGCCCCAGGCTCCGTTTTCCTGAATTCTCGTTCTCTGGAGGGAACACACTGAAGCATAGAGGCTGATATTCTCCCAGATGAAGGTCACCTCACACACTGGGCACCGTGTTCTCCCACCCCTTGTCCCAGTGACTATTCCTGCAGGTGAGGCCGGCCCCTCTCCCCAGCCCTGCTGCGGCGGAGTGGAGAAGAACAGCTCTAGCCAGGGCTTGGGAATTTGGGGATGGAAAAAACTAGATTAACTGATGCATTGGGAAAACGTGTACACCAAATTACCGCCCTCCCTCTGAATTTGTAGTGCTCAGCTGTCCCTCTACCTGTCACTCAGCGCTGATCGCCCACAGGCTTGTCGTATCTGTGGCACTGTTAACCTCCGTTTCTAACGCTGCCTTGTATTCTCGTTTAAGTATGCAATGTGACGTAACTTTTGTCAATATTTGATATCTCTACACAAAAGGACTGTAGGCTGTTCAAAGAGGAAAATCCTTTGGTTCCTTTAACACAGCATATTAAAGAATGCACTCCTCTTCCCTTGGCGAAAGCTGCTTGTTATTGTTCAAATGTAAAGCACTGGTATATTCGAACGCTCTAATGATAGATCCTGGGAAACCTCTGGGAGGAGGCTCCTGAAGGATGAGTCAGATGCAACCTGAATGAGGAAGGCCTTGCTTGTTCATGCGGTTCGGGCATGCCAGTCCTCACTGCTCTGCAGACCAGCTGACGGATATCCCCGTAGTCTGGAGGGGTCCCAGAGAAGGTGAGGGCTGAGACACGCGAGGAACGAGACATGCTGGTGGCTGTGAGAAAAAGGCCCAGGATAGTGGAAACGTCCTGCGAGTCCTGGCTGGAGACTCTCTTAGAGGAACAGGTGAAAATGCAGGCATCTCCCAAGGATACAACTTTCCTACAAACTGATCAAATAGGGCAGGGAGAAGTTGGCTGAGCTTGACTGATAGCAACTGGGGCTGTAGAAACCTCTAGAAGGTCTGAACATGACTGGAAGGGCCTCAGTGCACCTGAATATGGTTGGAGACAGGGAGGCAGCACCATCCTTCACTAGGGCCAGACCAGTCCTGAAAAGGCGTTGAAGCACCCCTTCAGTGCCACTCCCAGAAAACAGGAGCTGGCGACACCCACCCGGAGAAAAGAGGGAAGATACAGTTCTGAAAGAGGAGGAGAACCCCTCAGATGGAGAGCAGTGCTGAGCTGAATGCAGAATCACAGGAAAATAGCGTTTTAGAGTATAAAGGGGCCTTTGATCTCTGCGGACTTCGCAGTGCGGAAACTGAGACCACAGAGGTGAAGTGACTTGCCCCCCATAATTTAGAGGCAGAGCTAGGATTGGAATCCTGCCTCTGTTCACACGTTTATTCACAGGCATCTCTGAGCACTAGGAGGGGCCAGACCCTGTTCTAGGCCCTGGGTCCATGTTTCCTGACTCACACACAGGGCTCCTCCAGTCCTTAGGCCTCCTGCCTGGATCTAAGTTGGAAAAGCACATCTGGCATCGGGCTCAGACAAGGTTGAGCCCGCAGATTCCCACGATAAAGTACCAAGCTCACTCCACATCCTAAGGAAGCTGATGGGTCAAGGAAGGGGCAGTGGGTGAGACTACGAGGGCCCAGGACAGCTCAGCATTTGAGTCGTCTCTGACTCTGTCTTTGTGTGACCTTTATTTGATGGTTACTTGGAATACAAACTTTAAAAGATGGAAATCAGTTTTGTACTTTTTTGAATACATGGGGAGTAGAGAGAAGCTGGGAGATGGGGAGAGGCGGGTGGGGGAGGGCTCACAGCGTGGAGGAGACGAAGCCGTTCTGAGCAGAAGGGTGGTTTCAGTAGGAAAAGGGGCATTTGCCAAATGCCTGGCCCCTGCACGAGTGGAATTGGGAGCTGCAATAGGACTAAAAGTGGGTCTCTAGTTCCGTCTGGCACAAGACAATCCCTGTGCCACCAGGTACTGAATGAATTCCTGGAACTTTTGCTCGAGACACACCCCATTTCAGAAGGTTGTGCTGCTCCTGGGAAGGAATAGCCAAATGAAGAAACCTCTTGGCTTCATGACCACAGGCCAGGACTCCTACCTGTGCTGGTAACGGCAATAGCCGATGCTTCCAGAACGCGTTATCCTCTGGGCAGCGTTTATCCACCTGACGCCTCTAGGAGACAGTGAAGAAAGGTGTTATTACTCTATTCCGCAGAGGAAGCCGCCGAGCTTCCGGGAGGTTGATGTGCTGGCCCAGGTCACAGCGTTCATCTGCAGGAGAGCCAGGCCGGGCGAGTCCTAGTCTTCCGAATCCAAGTCTGACATTTTCCCTACGTGCTCTCCTGCTTTACCCGTGGGTGGGGAAGGAATGCAGGTTTAAATCTGTTTGGCAAGAGCATCACGCCTGGCCCCTGGAGTGAGAACAGACGAGAAGATGCTGCGCAGGGCATTCCCCTGTGGTTTTCTTCCTGGCCCAGTGGTTTCATTTGGCAGCTCAGGATGCATGGAGATTTTCCTGGGTTCTGTTGACCTGGTCTTCACTGGGTCAAGTTTTCTCCATCAGAAAATATATTCATTAATCATGACAGTACAGTTTTTAATATGGGGAAATTACTCGAGAAAGAAGAAATAAATTGGTAAATGAATTTTAAAACCTTCACTAGGTGTCCTGGTGCCTCTAATCCTGGTGAGCTCCCAGTGAGTCTGGGTGGCTCCTGGCTGGTGGGTAATCTCCATGCCCTCAGGCTCCAAAGAACTGAGGCAAGACCCGCTGGGCCTGGGGCACGTCTTCCCCAGGGGTCCATTGGCCAGAGAGGCGTGGGCACGTGGGTGACTGTCTGCTCCTCCCTTCTAGAGCCGCCAACTTCAGGAACTTTACCTTCATCCCGCTGAGTGGAGAATTTTCTCGGGGAAAGGGCCTTGATGTTGGAGCCCGCTTCTGGAAGGGAAGCAACGTCCTGCTCTTTTTCTGTGACGTTGACATCTACTTCACCTCGGAATTCCTCAATACGTGCCGGCTGAATACACAGCCAGGTAGGGTTGTGCAGGCGGCCCCTCACGCCCTTGGGGCGGCAGCTCTCCCCTGCGCGCGTATCACCTCCTCACTGTTCACTGGTGTCCTGCTTCTGAGTCAGCATATTTTACCCCAGTGACAGAGGAAAGGAAAAGCATCAGGTCTGATTTCTCCTTTGGGGTCACAGTGTGGCCTGTCAGCCTCCATAGTTCTGGATACTTTGTCCAAGTTCTTGTTTTTACGTTTTCGATTTTCATCTGGGTGGTGGGCTTCGGTGAACGTGCACGGGAGAGAGTGTGGTGGGAGGATGTGGACCTGGAAAACCTTCCTGAGACTAAAAGGAAAGGAGCAGCTATGGGCAGTTACCAAGGGAGGAAGGGATCTGAGCAGAAATAATCCACAATGTGAAAATTATTTTCATAGAGTTTGACTCATAGGCAAGGCTGATAACTACTGGAATGGCCATGTCAGTGGTTAAAATAATTGAAACTCTTCTGTGTAAATTGTAAAGAGCAACTTCCCTGGGCTCCCCAAGTCTACTCCTGCTGTGCAAAGTCACCCCGGCCCCTCTGGCAACTGGTCAGACTGCCCCACGAGCCAGCAAGTAAAGGAGTGACATCTGGCCGGGCAGGGGGCCCCAGGATCCTCTTTCACTCCCACTCCCGCTGGCTGACGCCCAGGGCCAGAGCCACTGACTGTCAGTGTTGGAGATATCACTCGTGTGCCAGCAGGTCAGAAATGTTTACGAGTCTGTCCGCCTGATGAGCTGGTGCACATGTCTAAGATCTGTTTTAGAGTTGAGTGAAGGGAAAAGGAAAAATGGATGAAACATCTGGGGTGGTTCAGAGGGATGAAAATAAATGAGCAAACCTAATAGTTTCTTGTGTTGCTTTCAGCGAATGTTTGTTTTCTGGTTTGCAGGGAAGAAGGTGTTTTACCCGGTCCTCTTCAGTCAGTACAATCCCGGCCTCGTCTATGGCCGTCATGATGCAGTGCCGCCTTTAGAGCAGCAGCTGGTAAGTGATTGCCTGCAGGTGCCTTTATGGGGCTGTTTCACATCTGTCATTACAGGGGCGCCTGGCCACGAGGAAAGGTGAGTGGGAATCTGTGGCTGGAGTCCTGGAGTAATTTTTAAGTTTGGAGACATTCTGGCCTTTACTCCCAGTGCCCTGCTGATTAAAAGTGCTTGCAGTATTTAAATATGGAAAATAAATAGGAACAGTGCCTTCCAGAAAGGTAATTTCACACCTTCATAGTTTTCTTCTATGGTTTTTGGAAACTAGTATTATTGCTTTATGGATGCAGCACATTTTCTCCTTATTATTACAAAATCCTACAAGGTAAGAAAAGGTGAGATTTATGTTCCCATTTGACAGAGGGAAAACAGAAGTCAGAAAGGGATGGCCCACCCCAGGGCGCACGGTGAGTGAGTGATTGGGGGAGCAAGGCCTGGATCCAGCGCCCTTCCCCTCACGCCACCATTCCCACATAGCACAGTGCCTCGGGGTGGATGTTAGCATCAGAGGTGTCAACAGCAAGGTGGCTTTCAAAGGAATATTGGAGGGACTTCTCTGCTGAGATCTTGGCTGCATAGGTGATGGATGGTGGAACCACACAGCCACCAAGGATCTCTCTTAGCAGAGATGTCTCCGTGGGTGGTGGTGGCAGTTAGCCCATTCAACAGAGAAGCAGTGCAGGCACCAGGAGGATGAGGTAAAGGCAGAAGAAGGTTTCTGCTGCACATAGGCCTACCCCTCCCAGACAGAGTGTCCTGGTGTTGTGGTCACCCCCAAGTTGGGCTGCGATTTTCCCTGTAGAGAGATCAGCTGGGTTTGTCTAGCTCAGGCTGAATCTCGGGGGGCGTCTGACCTGGGGGATGTCCGGTCTTCATTGCCGTGGCCAGATCTGGCTCCTGGTGAGGGAAAGCCATGTTTTTCTCTGCCGAGCACCTCTTAGGGTGGAGAGAGGAAACGTGCCAGGCAAACGTGCTGATGTGAGAGGACCGACTCTCATGCTTCTGTGCAATGGCAGAGGAACTGATTTTCACTGAAAATTGGTGTTCTCTGAAATTCTTTTGGAGGACTGATTCTTGTGTTTAAGCTTCCGGAAGTAGCAAACCCTGTTTGCTCAGCCCCATCCTGTGCCCCATTCCAGTTAACCTCTGGCGGCTGATGTAATGATCTTTTCCAGAAAGTTTTGGCTTGGGTTCCTTCAGGTTGGACAAGGTTCATTCCTCACCCATGTCCTAACCTGGTTTCACTTTGGGTCCAAGCCATACAGTACAGTAAATGATAGAGTTCTCTCTTCCCCGTGAAGTATACCCCAGATATATTGCGTGTCTGTTTATGTACTGTGTATGTATGTGTGTATATATATCTGCTTTTACATAAACACAGTAAGAGTTTTTCACTCCCCAAGAACCAATTTTTATCTACTTTGAGGCCGTATCATCCCCACTGAGACAGAAAAACGTCTTGTTTCCTTTTCATAGGAGTTCTAAGCTTCTAATAGTGTTTGAGGGGGAAATGGGATAAAGGATTTGTTTTCTTTCAACCAATCAGAGTAAAAGTTCCTTTGGTTTTAAATAAAGTACTGCTTTACATTTGACATCAAATGTAATTAATGTTTCAACTTCCAACTCTTAAAGACCCTATTTGCTTGCAAGGAATTCTTTTCACAATTTTAAAGTTTTATCCTTTTATTACCATTCCAGCAGGGAAACTAGAGGGACGGGCGTGGGGCAGCCAGTCTCTCCGATGCTCAGAATTAGCAGTCGAGCCAGAAACAGGACTCAGGTTGCTGTGTCCACAGCTGAATTATCCTGCAACCTTCGACATTTACTTCTAAAGCCAGCTTAGACCTTTCCTAGAGCACATACATCTGATATTTTCGGGTTCAGTATTCATGACTCTACAGTACAGAGAAACACAGCAGTTGTCTTTGAGATGAAGGGCTCTCCATCCAGAAAAGTATTGATTATGCTCTTTACTGGCTGAGCATTTCTTGAGCGCTTGCTGCCTGCAGAGAACTAGTCTGGGCGTGAGTGGAGGAGTCAGAAACACTGACACGGCCTCGTCCCTTCAGAGGTGATTCACCAGGTCCTTTCGCTCCCTCTCTTTTTCATAGACTTGTCCAAGATCACACGGCCAGCTAACAGCAGAGCTCATGCAAAAACCGTGATTTCCTTGCTCTAGTACAGTGGAAATAGATTCGCTTGGGATCGAGGGTGAGAGCTAAAATATAAGGGAAATGTCCTGACAAAAATTCCGAAGGAGAACATCAAACTACAGAAATTAAATATAATGGAGATAGAATGTGTAGGTGCTGCGAAGGTAGAAAATAAAAAGTAATGATTGGAGATGGGTAAATTAGGAAAGACTTCCTCCCTTGGGTCCATCTGGGCTCAGTCTTGAAGATACGGTCTGTATATATTAATAGCTTCTTGATGGCCTTGCCTGGATTGCATCAGAATCAAGGGTGAAGGGAGAACCCAGCTCCGGATGTAGTGTTACAGCGCGCACTTGCTTAGGCAAACGCGAGACAGCCTTTTCCAGCAGCCCTGCAAGTACCACCCTGGTAGTCAACATGCCAGCTGTTGCTTCTCCTGGCTATTGCCACTGTCATTTGATAACTGTTTTTTTCTCGGAAGGATTTGCTCTGAGCTAACATCTGTTGCTAATCTTCCCCCCTCTCTCTCTTTTTCTCCTCCCCAAAGCCCCAGTACATAGTTGCATATTCTAGTTGTAAGTCCTTCTAGTTCTTGCATGTGAGCCCTCTACAGCATGGCTACTGGCAGATGAGTGGTGTGGTTCTGTGACTGGGAACCCAACTTGGGCTGCCGAAGCGAAGCACGTCGAACTTTAACTTCTAGGCCATCAGGGCTGGCTCTGGTAACATTTTGCCTGCAGACAAAAGCTAGAAACCAAATTTATGATTTTTTTTTTATTCAGACTACTTATTTCTTTACTTCTGAGTACAGACCATTAGTAACAGTAATAAGTGAAATGATGAAATATTTTTACTAATATTTAATTTTTTGAATTTTAAACTTGAGATGAAACTTGCTGATGCTTTAATGGAGAAACAGCTCTCCGAGAAAGGAATGACTCTAATTTAAATCATTATTAACCTCAGACATTCCCCTTTCCTGTAAACCAGGAAAAGCCTTGACAGTTCCTGCTGAGGCCACCGCTGGAGCCTCTTGTCACTGCTGTCTGCAGACTCCTTTGCTCCCCTGTATGCCAGGCTTTCCTTCACCTTCTGCAGAGATACACTTCCAAAACACACATTAATTCCATGTTTTAAAATCTTTTACAGCAGAAAGCCAGTGGTGTGCTGGCAAATGCTTAACAGCCTACTCTCTGAAAGGGAAAACAAGGTCCTGACTCTCAGCATTTGCCATGTTCTGTGGTGTCAGTGCTCCCACTGTGGCCGATTTCAGGCTACCAGTGTGATGTCACTGGGTGCAGAGTTGGGAGAGACTTGTACAATCCTGGTGCGCTGGTCCCGCCTGCTCCAGCACAGCACTGCCAGCCCTGATCCCTTCTGGGGATTAACTGCCCTCCACAGACTGGCTCAAACTGATTACAGAAAAAATATTTGCAAACCCCAGCACCTGGTGCATGGTAACAGCTCAACAGACAGGCAGGCCAGCCCCTCTGCCAGGTGAGAACGCCTGCCCAGCATCTCCTCGTGCTGTCCCCCTGCCTCAGGGCCATCTCCTACCATTTCTACTGCCCGACACCTCAGTCGGCTGTGTGGTCCTGCTCGTCATTTAAATCTGGTGACTTGTGCCCCTCTGCGCAGTGTGAGAATGGTGTGCTCGCTCATGTCCTCCCCTGCTCTGACTGCACCCTTACCTCTCTAACCCCCTCCAGAAAGTATGTTACCACTGACGTGCATTTCACTTTAAGCTTCCAAAAATTGCTGACTGGGCATAGTCCGTCCTTTCAGTCTGCTTTTATTTATTCTAGAAGCAGACAGTCAGTGAGTACCAAAAGCAATATTACCAGATGCCGTCTACGCAGCCTTTTGTAAGCCAGCACTGTGCCCGCGTTGTCTCCTGTGATGCTCAGTAAAGTGGAGAGGCATTCTGCTCATTTCTCAGATGAGAAACCTGAAGCTCAGGGGCATAAGTCACTTCCTCAGACTCTGCAGCTGCTAAGAGGCAGGGTCAGGAGGTCAAGTGCCACCTCATGCAATGGGGACTGGGCTGAGGATGCCCAGGGGCAGGGGACACCTTCTTTGGCCTCCTAGTGCTTCCAGGAGGAAAGGGTCTAGCTTTAGATTACCGATTCCTAGAACAGAGGACGATTCCTTGTCTAGCATGATACCCTGCAGAAGACACTTCATTTTTTTTAATGCAGATACTGATAAAAGATTTGTAGAAAAATGTGGGTTAGTATAAATCTTGGAGGAGGGGGCATTTGAGTCCATTCTTAAACCAATTCTTTTAAAGCCGTGCCTCTAGAATACTTTATTTCTCAAGAAATGGAAACTGTCACAGCAGTCCTGGTGTTGGCTGGGCTCAGCCACAACCGGCTGAGTGATCTTGGGCAAATCCTTCTACCTCCATACCACGAGGCACGTGCATACGACATGCAGTCCTCCGGAATCCTGTGCAGTGTGGTCACTGAACCCTCAGAGCCCAAATAGTAAGGAATGTGCAGTATGGGGCCAAGGGGCTCCCATCCCAGCCACAGAAGCCCCTGAAGCCCAGGGTGTCTGCCGCTCACCGTCAGGACTGGCCGCCTGGTTGGCATGGCTCAGTGTGCAGTGAAGATGCAGGGCCCTTGTTCAGAAGTGGTTAAGAATTTCGAGGCAGCAACAGCAGAGCATTAGACCAGGCACGAAGCCTTCTCAGTGAGGGCCCGGGGCCTGCATGGGTTGCAGACCCCCGGCATTTCTGATGAATGTGAGGCTCGTCAAACACAATGTCGGTTATTGGGAGACTCTTTTGATTTAGAGGAGATGTTCTGCCTGAGTGCTTGTTATTTATTTTATTTTGGGGCCCAATTGCTTTGTGGGCAGTAGTCCAAGCAGCACTGTTAACCCAGACGGTCCCTGCCTGCTTCCCCAGCTCCCTTGCAGCTGTGTGGCGGCCTTCCCGCGTCTTTGGGAGAGACGCTGGTTCGTGCTTTGCGTTTCGGTCCTCACCCCTGTCACGTGCGTTGCCCAGAGAGCTGCAGTTCTGGAAACTTCCTGTAGCAGAGCAGGCTTGACACTGTCCTTTTGTGGTGTATTCATGCTCTGCAGTGTCTGCTGAGATCTAAGGTGGGCAGAGAAGGGAGCTGCAGCGAGTTGAGAGGACGCCAACCCTTGAAAGACATTTTTAAAAATGAGGATAGCACTTGAAAGCAGATGCATGAAGTCCAGGACTGGAGGGGGCGGTGTTTTCTTTTAAAGTGTACTCTTTATCTTGGGGCTTCTTCCTCCTCAGCTGTAGTAGACATCATTGGTGTGTGTCTTTTCAATGCATGAGCAGAACAATGGCGCTCCTTACGCCTGGGGATAAGGTGCTAAGAGGTTAAGCCCTCCGTGTTAGACCCCAGGAGCCACGCACTTCTGAGTTTCCACACTGGAGTTCCTGGGCCTTCGCTGAACCACTCGGTGACGAGAATTCCCTACTTGAACCACATCCACTTCCACTGGCTTGGAGCTAGGTCTCTGCCCTAGGTCTGCTCCCCATTCATTCACTGGAGAAGTGTTTATTGAGTGCCTGCTGTGTACCGGACAGTGATCCATGAACCACACCAAGGCCCTGAGCTCGTGTTCCCCAGTGTTGGTGGGTGAAGGCAGTCAGCAAACAGAGAAACAACTGCTCAACAGGAGAATTCAGACAGCCTGGTTTATAGAGAAAATAAACCAGGTGACGGAACAGAGAGTGACATGATGCGGGGACTGACACTGTCTGGGAGGGTCAGGAGGACCACTCTGAGCAAGAACCCGGTGGTGAGCAGAGAAGGGTGGCCCGGGCAGGGGTACTGCGCGTGTCCCTCCTTGGAGGCCTGCGAGCTGCTGCTTTGGAGGGGCAGAGTCTAAGGGCCTGCATATCAGGAGCCAGGAGATGCATGAGCCAGGCAAGGCCAGTTCACGCAGGGCCTCTGCAGGCTGGAAGTTTCCTTGTGGATTTTATTCTAATTGCATTAGGGAGAATGCAGGTAAAACCGCTGCCTGGTTTTCCATGGGAACATGCTGTGAGCGGCTGTGTGCTGGAGAGCGCTCCCTCCCAGCCAGGCTGCTTGTTGAGGGCACTGCTCCGGTGAGCTGCTCGGCACCACTGTGGTCGTGGAGCCTCTGAGGAGCGCCTTCCTTACCCTGTTGTATGCTGTGGGTGCGGCGAGGTCAGCTTCCACCAAGGCTGAATGTCTGGGTCTTTAGGTGGTGGCTTTTTGTGGCTTGCCAACTTTAAAGCCAATGCTAAGTGTTTGTATAGCAATTCCCCAGCTCACAAATCACTTTGTCTGTCACTTTATCCCCAGGCCATTCTTCACCTTGTTCAACCTCACCGGGCGCTCCGTCCACTCAGCCCGGGTCCCGGGACGGCTGCCTCTGACAGTCCCTCTTGTCTTCCTTCCCAAGCCCTGGCCTACTGTTTCTCCTGTTTGGAGCTTTCTCTTTTAGATTCCATGTAGACCTCAGCCAAATATTCAAAGTTTGGATACTGCCAGTTTCCTTTGACTCCATTTTTATCCCGAAGCTTAGAGGACTTGTCGAGTCCTGGCCAGTGGGAAGGATGTTATGCCATTAGCTGCAACAGAAGCAGTGTACCTGGTATGACTGCGATGCAGAAACCATTTTTAAAAAATGACTCAGTGGAAATTTTTCCAGACTTGCCTGCCCTGCAAAATCTCTCTGGTTGATACTAATGAAATTATCTTGTCACTTGGGAGATGTTGTGTAACAGCCCTTTATTCTGGAGAAGAATTGAGAGCGTCTGCTGGGGCCAGTGCTAACTGACACAGTCTCTCTGGGTCTGACTTCCCTGAGGCGGTCCTGATGGGGTGAACAGGAGTGCAGGTGATATCCACGTGCAGGTCGTCATAAAAGTCAGGTGGCTTCATAGGTTCCAGAGTGGAAGAAATTTTAAGTTCATCAACCCTCCTGCAAACCATTTGTGGAGTATTCCGTAGCCTGTGGTATAGATGAAGAGAGGCTCGAGGAAGGTAGAATAGCAGGAATAGGATAAATGTCTGGATGTTGGAGCTGGAAGAGACCTTAGGGGTGAGTTCGCTCAACCTCTTCATTTATAGGAAAGGGAATAGAGGCTCAAAGAAGTGAGGGGCCTGCCTGAGGCAAACAAGCCAGCAGTGGGCAAGTGGGGCCAGGGCACTGCTGCCCCTCCCCAGCACGCCCTGTTTCTGACCAGCGGGAATGGAGCCAGCCGCCCCAGAGGGAAAAGGCAGAAACCCCAGTGGGTGGGGGCCTGCTGCAGCCTCCTGTCCCCTGGCCCAGGGAGGGCACTTCTCACTTAAGCATCTGTGTTAACTACAAGAAGGAATCATGAAAAATAACTAGTGAGATCTCAAAACCATTCCCAGAATTACCTCAGCCAAAAATATATAAACAATGTTTTTTAAGTCTTGCTGCTTCAGCAAATATATTGGAAATTTACTTGCTGCAAGTGAGAGACTGAGCAGGGCCAGGTCTGGCCGTTGAAAGACAGCGACCGCTGGGACAGCCCCTCGTAGCCCCCAGCCTGGCACTGCTGCATATGCTTTGTGGGGCTGTTTGGTTTTAACGTCGTTTGAAGATGAATGGACAGAGTCTTTCTTCAGAACCTGAACCCTTCGTGCCCTTTCCTCAGCGAGCGAGAGTTAGCAGGGCCGGAGCGCCACACTGAAGTCTCGGGTTTTCTTTTTATTCCCTGAGGGAGTCCTTTTTGTGCGCTGTGCCAGGGCGGCTGAATTCCGACTTGTTCTCCATCCCTTTTCTCAACTTCCTGAGCCCTTTGCTGGCTCCCTGCCTGGCCCTGTGTGAGGGGCCAAGGCCTCCGTCTCTTGCTGGCGCTGGTGGCGGGCCAGACACGTAGGTGGCTTTTCCATGGCGCTGCTCAAAAACTTGCTCTCCCGGTCTGTGTGTGTGTGTGTGTGTGTGTGTGTGTGTGTGTGTTCATGCCTACACCCTAGAAACATTCCAGCCAGAGGTGCCAAAACCAGCAGGCCCCCCAGGACTGGTGAGCTTGCCGTAGGCCTGACTGTCTGAGAGGAGCACAGGGTGTGGCTGTCTCTCCGCCGTGGGACAGACGGGCTGCCTGTTTAACGTGGCTCCTGCGAGTGTGTGAATACTCTCATTTATTTTTATGCACTCTGTCCTTCCCCCTCCAATGACAGTGCTCTCCCTGCAGGTCATAAAGAAGGAGACTGGGTTTTGGAGAGACTTTGGATTTGGGATGACATGCCAGTATCGCTCAGACTTCATCAACATAGGTGAGAGAAATCGACTTGCAGGAAGCCTGCATCTCTGCTGCCACCCAGAGGCCACCGGCCTGCACCGGCCTGAGGGTGTCACTCAGGTTCCCAGGAGTCAGTGGCAAAGGTGGTGTGCCATTTCCTAAGGAAAGGCCTTTCCTCCTGTCGTGGACTTCGGGGCTGGACCAAGAGGGGCTGGGGGAGTGCGGTACTTTATCCCTGTCGGCTCCCAGGCACCTCTTAGTCTCCCCAGTAGGGCGCAGCATCCGAGGGAAAAGGCAGACTGCTGCAGGAAGGCGGCCCCGAAGCGAGGCCCCCGTGCCCCATGTGGCTGGGCTCCGGCCCCTGCGCCCCGTCACGGAGAATGTCCTGGGCCTCCCAGTGAGAGGAGCCGTGAAAAAAACAAGGGCCACGTGGGAAATTTTGTCAAATCACATGCCAGAAAAGATCCACATTTCTCTCTGCTAAACCTTCTAGAATTCCAGATGTCACTTCAAGCCCTGAGTGAGTGTGAAGTCACTCTCAACGTGCACACACACATGCACACACATGCATGCACACACACACATGTCCCCAGAGCAGAGAGAGGAAAGGCCCTTAGGTTGCCGATGAGGAAGCCAAGTCTCTTAGAGGCAAAGGGACCTCAGAGCAAGTGAGGGGCATAGTCAGGGTGAGAACAGAGCATCCCCTGCCCCGCTTGGAAATACCACCACCTCCTCCTCATGGTGCTTACTCATGTGCCTCTGAAGGGAATGGGATGGATTGCACATGGCTAGGGTATAAATGAACAGGCCATAAACCTGGATCTTGGGCCCAGGGGCTCAGGGTGGACCCCGAGCCAGGATGGAGTCAGGAAGGCCCTGTCCTCATGCGTTGTGGAGAGTCCATCCCCACAGCCTCCCTTGCTCTCTCCTAGTCTACTCCCCTCGGGCCCAAGGCCTAAAGCTTTTTCTTGTAAGATCAGTGAGTCAGTCTGAGTAGCCCCAGCTTTCTTTTGTCCAGAGGTGAGGTGGGCTGTAGGACTCCAGAATCCTCACAGAAGTCACCAGGTTAAAAAGAAAAACGACCAAACACCTTGAAGTCTAAGCCCACAGCAGCAGCAGAGCGCCTGGGTGCCGGCCTCGAGTGGGGATGCTCTCAGACACCCAGAACTAACTGGTGTGATGTCTCTAAGAAACAGTTCTGAATGATCCTGTGCCCATCAAACTTCCAAAAATGACACATTTTTCAAATTTTCTAAAGGAGATTTCCATTTCAAGAACCTCTTGTTTCCTTGCTCTATGTACAAGGGAAGATAATTTTATGATAATGTATGTTTATCAAATTTGGATTTATAATATGTAGGATTTCCTAAAGATGGAGCATAGTTCTAATTGAGAAATGCGGGAATGGAGCTGGGAAGGGCACTCTTCCTCCAGAAGCAATTGCCATGACCTTGGAATCTTTGGGTCACATCCGGACCCCATTCTTTGCAATCTTGATGTATTTGCAGGCGTCTTACTTGCACACCTATATTTAATAAGTTGCAGTGATACCGATGATAGTAATAATAACAGCTAAGCACGCGCTGCCCCTTACATCACTGTCTCATTTGGTTATAGCACCTACTTCATTTCAGGATAAAGAAACCGAAACTCAAGAGAAGCGAAGTGGCAGCTTATGGGAGAGCCAAGACTCAAATTCCAGACCCTGACTCAGAATTGTATACCTTTCTTTGCCTGGGGCTGTCATTCACTCGTATACCTGACCCAGGGTGAGGGCTTGTGGGTTTCCCTGTGCATGAGCTCCCCTTTCCACCCCAGTGATGGCCTGGATCAGAGCAGTGCCACCTGATGGCTGCACGATGATGCTGAGAATCACGTCACTGTTTCTTGTAAGAGTCGAATAAACCTCCTGGGTGAGAAAGGCACAATGACAGAGGCCAGTGCTGCTTTGGTTGTCTTTGAAACTTGGTGGGCTTTTAGGCTGAGAACAGATATGGGGCATCTCAGTTTGCAAAGGCGAGACTTTAGGGGCCCATTGTTCACTTTGTGAAGGAGTCCGTGCTAGGAAGAAACAAGTTTCCAAGTAGAACTTCAGAACTGAGTGTGAGGCCAGCCCCTGTACACCGACTCATCTCTCCAGCCTGTGGGAGACACACAGCTTTTGGGGACCACCTTAGTCTATGAAAGGAAGAGTGCTTTGGGGGGACGTGAGTTTTTTCTCACTGATATCCTGTTTCATCTTTCACACTGCAAGCCCCTGGTTTATTCTCTGCTGTGGCAGGACGAGGCCACCATCGAACAGAAACACAAGAATTTTCATGGAGAGGTTTCAAGGTGCAAAGTGGGGATGTTGGTGCAGCTCCTGATCGAGGCGAGGGCCATTCCTACCCTGCTGGGAGCTCTGGAGGGCAGCAAATGCTGGGCATTGTCTGCAGTCTGATCTCAAGGAGTGGGTGCTGGCTTCCAGGAAGGTCCTCTCGGTGCGGATTTCCGAGTTCCCTGACCCAGATGGACGCTCATAATTTGGAGGGGGAGTGAAACACTTCCGCCCTAAATGCTGCTTCTCCTCCTGCGCAGTTCTGTGCGGGCAGGTCGGGAGGGGCCTGCGCAGCGAGACTCAGCGGTGTGTTCTCTCCTGACAGGTGGCTTTGACTTGGACATCAAAGGCTGGGGCGGAGAGGACGTGCACCTTTACCGCAAGTATCTGCACAGCAATCTGATCGTGGTGCGCACGCCTGTGCGGGGACTCTTCCACCTCTGGCACGAGAAGCGCTGTGTGGATGAGCTGAGCCCCGAGCAGTACAAGATGTGCATGCAGTCCAAGGCCATGAACGAGGCGTCGCACGGGCAGCTGGGGATGCTGGTCTTCAGGCACGAGATAGAGGCTCACCTCCGCAAACAGAAACAGAAGACAAACAGCAAGAAAACATGAACTCCCGGGGACAGATTTGGGGAGATGCTTATTTTTTTTTCCTTTTGCAATTACCAAATGAGTGACTGCAACAAGGAAAAGATTTCTATAAAGGGCACAAACGAGAATTCACAGGTTAGTCAGAGAGACGAGGGGGAGCCACTCCTCTCTGCCTGTTTAGCTTCCTGCGGCGGGAAATCAAGATCTCCCGCCACACCTGCGGAAGTAGCCCAGGTGCCGGGCGGCGTCCGACAGAGGCAGGAGGACTTGAGTGGCCGGCCTGATGGCCTGGAGGTTTTGATTGTGTTTCCAGCAAAGTGAGATATGTCGTTTTCTGTGCTCATTGAAATAGTCATGAATTAAGACCAGTTTTGTAAAAAGTTGATTAGAATGGAAGGTGAGTACATTTCTCCCCACACGGTGACTACCGCAGTTGGGCTGTAGCCGGTGGCAGTGCTGGAATATCAGAAGGCGGGCGAGGAAACTTTGAAATCCGAAGATATGCCCCTCGCCGTTCTCGTGAGTATATTAAGTGAAACCAGTGGACTGAAAAAGGAAAGAAACCGTAACGATTGTGTCATTTCCCCCCCAAGATTAACCAAAAATAATCTGCTCATCTTTTTGGTTGTAGTTTTAACCATCTCCATTTGTTTTGTTAGTTTTATTTAAAAATGCACTTTTTTTGCTTGTGAGTTATATTCTGCTTATTTAATTGCCGATTTGCAAGCCTTACTAAGAGCACAAATTAGCATACATTTTTATATTATTTAAGAAGATACTTTTAGATGCATTATGAGAACTTTCAGTTCAGAGAGTCAGATTGATACCCATGTGCAAGGACATGCCAGCGCTCATCCTGGCAGGCACTGACTGTCCGACCTTCCAGTGTATGGAAGGCGGGGCGGGGCCGCCGGCGGGTCAAGACCTACGGAGACTTCATCTGAAGAGTCCTTCTGAAGAGGAGCAACTGAACACTGGAGGGAACAAAAAAATACACTTTTTACCTTAACAGAAAAGAAAACTCGTTCAGACTGGTGATAACCGTGATTTATTCAAAAGTCAGAAAAACACATTTCCTCCTCAGGAGAACTGGGGACTACTTTCTTACCTGTTTAAATAAACCAAAGTACGCTGTGTGAACCAAACAATCTCTTTTCAAAGCAGGGTGCTCTTCCTGGCTTCCACCTTCTGTGAAAGGACGTGCAGAAAAATGTCTTTGTGAAAGACCCCTCCATGCCGGAGCCGAGGAGCGTGGACACGTTGCTGCGTGTTCACTCACCCTGCTCTCGGTCTTGGGGAAAGTCACTTAATTATTTTTTAAATTAAGCACTTCTATTCAGTCACCAAGATGCTTCTGAAAATTGCATTTGATTACAGTTTCCAACTATTTTTTAAAAATAAATACAGTTAACATTGAGTGCTTTCTACATTCATGTGAAAATTGTGTATTTATTAGCCGGCACCAGCTGCATGAGCTAATTCTCTCTCTCATACCTGTCTTCTGTTTGCCACAGTCAACTCATTGTTTAGAGGCCTCGAGAACATTCAAGCTGTTGGTGTGTGAAAAAAAAAAAAAAAGGCACTGTATTGGTTTGTACTGTTGGTTCATAAAATTTAATTAAAACACAGGACGTGAATGGAAGGTGGCATTGGACAGCTAATAAAATATGATTTGTGGATATGATTTCTTCCTGGAGTAGGAATGCCAAATCTTTAGTTTTTGGAAAACGGTATTTTGTGCGTAGACCAGGCTTTCTCAGCTTTGGCAGTACGGGCATTTGGGTTAGATCCTTCTTTGTTGTGGGGCCGTCCTGTGCGCTGTAGGATGTTTAGCAGCATCCCTGGCTCCCACCCAGAGGCCCAGAGCATCCTCCACCCAGGTCGACAACAAGCATGTCTCCAGTCATTGCCAAAGGTTCCCCAGGGGCAAAGCCACCTCTGGTTGAGAACCACGGGTCTAGAGGGAGCAGAGAACCATAACGGAAAACCTGGCCATACTCCATTTTACTTGTCCTTTTCAAATGAGAAGAAACTGAGCAACGATTTCCAAGGCCCTTTGACTCTCACCGTTTTCCATACTGTCACCTACAGTGGTGATACTAGACATTCAGGGCGCACATCTGCCCGTCTCTCCAGTGGTTCAGATGGCTTGGTGGGTCTGCCCTGCACACTCCTGCCTGTGTTCTCCAGTGTCAGGGGGATGCATGTCCAGCAGAGCTGGCAGCGGGGAGCAAATGTTCTGACCAGGGAATCAGGCTCTGTGTCCCGCGGGTGATGCTTTGCCAGGCTGCCTGCTATCGACTAACTCACCGTTTGTGCTTGTTTAAGTTGCATATCAGACATGCCCAAGACAAGTGGGTAGGAACTGGGTTTTCAAAGTTGCTGAGGGTAGCTGAAGAGAAGAGTAAACAGCATCATATGAAACTATTTCTCTCTTCTGAAAGCTGAGTCAGGTAAAACAGTTTTGTCAAATGGTAAGAGCTCTTCAAAGCACATGCAAGAGCAGATCAGTCTCAGTTTGGGCTGCTATAACAAGACAGCACGGACGGGGGACACTGATTCCTCACAGTGCTGGGGGCTGGGAGGTCCGCCATCCCGGCACTGGCAGGTCGCTGTCTGCTGAGAACCCCTTCTGGCCATGTCCTCACATGGCTGAGAGCCGACCGAGGCCTCCCTATCCTCCTGTTCTTAAAAGGACACCAGTCCCCTCGTGGGGGCTCCACCCTCATGACCTAATTACCTACTAAAGTCCCCGCCTCCAAATACCGTCACATTAGGGATTTTGTGTGGGCACAAACGTTCAGGCCCTGTCCCCATGCCCTGCCCAAGACATGTACTAGAGAAGGGTCAGTGGAGGCCCCGCTGAAACGTTGTATTTGGGGGCATGGGGTTTACCCCTAGACAGCAAAGGACAGCAGTAGGAACCTGGGGCTTGAAGGGCCCAGTCACGGTACCTCTTCTATAGAAGGATGCTGCCGAGGAAGCACCGAGTCTCGGACTTGTCTAAGGCCCCTTCCAGCTCTCTGCATCCTCCCTGTGTGAGGGTTGTGTGTAAGTCACCTGGTGACTGCCCCAGCCGTGTCCCTGGAGCCAGGTCTCCAATATGAACCTGGGAACTCCGCTAAGCAGCGGCGGGCTCATGCAGCCTCGGGAGAGCCAACTGTCAGCACCTCTTCCTGCTCCCCATTCATCAATGGCAGCTTGGTAGCTGGAAGTCAACCGTGGTGGGAGGATTTGCACCATGGAAACTGGCAACTGACCAAAGCTATACACCAGGACCCGCCCCCCCCGAACCCCACCCCAGCTAGCTGTTAACTATTTGCCAGCACACTGCTGCCTCCCAACCGCAGACCTCTTCATGTGCCCAGTTTTCCCTCCAATCTGCTACTTTGCAGCCCTCTTTCGTATTCATAAATGTGGCCAACTTGCTTCTCTCTACACATCAGTGATGAGGAGAGAATCAGGCCCAGGAATTTTAACAGGTAAAGCTTCACACACTCCTAGGTTTAAGGTTTTGCCTGAGCCAAGTAGACATAATACATAATCCTGAAAAATAAGAAAGTACTACCCAGAACCTACTTTTAATAACTTTTGTTTCAGGGGAAATCTTCCAATGTTATCTAATCTTATCTAATCTTATCAGGGTTCAGTTCAGTGTGGCAGTTAACATCATGGCTTCCCAGCCGGGTTCAAATGCTGGTTCTTTAACTTGCAACCTGTATGATCTTAAACCAGTCACTCAGCATCTCTGTACCCTAGTTGCCCTTCAGGGTGATGACTGCAGTCACACCTAGATCACAAGATTATGGTGAAGACTGCGTTCACGTGTGTGACATCCTTAGGACGCGTCAGGCATGTGGCAAGGCTTCATGTCCAGCTGTTATTATTTGATACCAATTCCTCATTCACATCTGTGTCACAACTGTGTCTGTGTGCTTCCCAGCACTCCCAGCGCCTCCTGGGTATAGTCAGAGGGCCATTATGGGTCACACGTTAGAGGTCATGAACCCGTCATGTGTGCACTGTTGTCCTTTATTTCTGCTATTCTGAAAACAGTTTCAATCTATTGGAAAAAGGGTTACTAGAAATGTCGAACATACAGCAATGGGTAATTTATTCCTCAAAGTTCATGCTTGATAATTTGGAGTTAATGACGCCCTAGGCAGCTGAGAGGCGTTAGATGGTTTTGAAGTAAGGAATGTGTCCAGGCACCCATGTACAGAATGCCAGCCTTCTAGGACAGGTCATATTGCTCCTTCCATTTTCCCAGTGCAGAAAACTGAGGCTCAGAGATGGTAAGGAACTTTCCCAGAGGCCTGGCCAGAAAGTGGCTGGCTCCAGGCTCCTGCGTCATCATCCCACAGCCAGCTCCAGGGGGCTTGTAGCTCAGGAGGGAGTCGGGGGGTTGGGGGGTTAGCCTATGGCCTGGGGCGAGCTCAGAGACTGTCTTCTTGTGCCTCAGTTTCCCACCATTTCACTGTACTCCAGCCCCACCTGAGAAATCCCCCGACAACGAATGAAAACTTGTCAACACAGTGATCCAGGAACACTGCCGGAGCCGGCCCTGCCTCCCTCCAGCTGCCATGTGATGACCAGTGGGCTAGGGCTCTGAGGCCTTGAAGCAGGCTCTGGCAGGATCCCCAGGCATAGACGTAAAGACTGCCTCCTGTAGGAGGGTAGAGCAGGTGGGAATACTTGGTTTTTGAGAAAGAGCTGACGTTGTTTCTGAGAACTGCTGATCAGAGATAATGCCCTTGAGCCATCCTTCAGAAGGGTGGGTGTGTTCTACTCCCAACACCCATCAAATAACTGGCAGCTTCGTGTGATCCGTATTCTGATTAGCTTTGTATTTGAATTCAAAGCTGTTTCTCCTGGCAGGATTTAGTGCTTTACTGCTGCTGCCGAAAGCTCTGGGGACTGTGCCAGTTGGTTGGGGGGTTTGGGTGGTGGTTTTTTCCAACATGCAAAGCACGTTCTCCCGGTCCGCAGAGGTGCCTTTCAGAATGTCCGCATTCCTGCTGTTTGAGCACGACCTCTGGACAGTCAGCCCCGGGCCCTCGGCTGCTCTTCTCAGGGAGGCGCGCAGGTGGCAGCCTGGGGAGAGGAGGCGCTGAGTAGTCTCAGGACCATCTCTGCCCCTACAGTCACCCAGAGGTTCCGGGGGACCAGGCTACCATCAGCGGCCTCTGCCCAAGGCTCACCAAACATCCTTCAACCTGGCCACTGGCCTGCAGATGGCCTGCCTGCCACAGGCCATACCAGGCAGGGCGCTTGGTGAACTGGACGTACTTTCCACCAGCCTGAGAGTCAGATGCTGTAGCCTGAAATGAGGTGAGGGCAGTACTGCCAGCAGCTGCCTCCCCCTCAGTCATTAATCCCACAGGTTCTAACCCCTCCACCAGCGCCCGCCAACCCACCCTCAACTCGTGTCTGAAGAATTACAACTACTCATCATGTGGCCTGCCAGGGTGTCAAACCCCATGTGAAAAGGTTAAGAAAAATAAATACAAATTTAAAAATAAAAATCCAAGCAAACAGTAAATCTCTGAAGTTAAATTTAAAGAAAAGCTGAAGAAAAATGAGTTTAACTACGTAACTTCTTCTTTGTTCTAGTCGTTCGCTGAAATGGAGCCGTGTAATAGTTGCACCCAGGCGCGTGGGGCGTCGGGATGGCAGGAGTGGCCTGGTGGAGGAGCCTTTTCTAGAGCTCCTCCACAGCCAGGGCACCTGCCCGTTGTTGGTTGTTGGGGCCCAGTGTGCTGGCGGGTTACTGGGGTCCTGACCCAGTTGGTCGGGAGACTTCCTGAAGGAACTCCCTTTCAGTTGCAGGGGAGTAGAAGCTGACTTAGACTGAGAGGCCGGGGGCGCGCCCTCCCTGGCACTCTGGCTCAGCACTGGTGCTGCCTGCCTATTTGGGAGACAACGCAGAGTTAATCTCAAAGGGACCTGGGTTTGCAATAAGTCTTCTGGTCAAAAAAGGCACCTTCTTGGCGATTTGTGGTCAGGAACCCCAGGGCAACTGGATAGGCTTGTCAATGGCCTATACGGGCGTAAAGACCGGTCACTCCTATCTCGGGAGTTGTCAATCAGACGGAGCCTTCTCCGTGCCATTTCAAACCCAAATGAAGTGAGCCATTTCTCTGCAAGTCAATTGGCTAATATATTGTGAGTCATCATTATATCCCTAACTCTTTAACAGTTTCCTTTTCCCCCTTAAAGTTCATCCCAGAAACTCTAGCAAATGGGCCATTGGGATGCATAACTCATTGGCTGCATCAGTGGAGCTGGTGGAGGAGGAGCATGGAGTGCACGGGTCCTGGCCTTGTTGGACGCATGACACACCAGGAATAACTGCCACTTGTGGAGAACTCTACATCCACTGGGCACCTCCCCCAGGTCCTTTCTAAGCCTCAGAACAGTGAGTGACTTCAGTACCTCCTGTTTCAAAGATGAAGACGCTGAAGCTCAGACAGGCTTAGTATTTTTTTCTTTAAGATGGCACACAGCTAGTTAATGGTGTAGCCGGGACCCAAACCCAAACCCACTGGGCTTTCTTTCTAGTCTATCAAGCTACCTCATTAGAATCAATGTGTTTTTACCACACAATAAAAAGAGGACACTTTTATTCTTTAAGCCTCCTGATAGTTTTCAGTCTGGGGCAGCAGTAGGAAGTCTAAGGATCTTGCATGGGGAGATAAGGGAACATAGCAAGTAAACTGAAACAGAAGTATGAAAATCGACACTGGAGCCGGTAAGAGCAGAGTTAACATCGCAGGAAATTTACCCTGAGATGGGGAAAGGAAAGAGATGAGCGGTTTTCCTAAAATACAGTGGAAAAGGATGGAGAGAGGAAAACCAGGAGGATGAGATTACAAAAATGGAAGGCAAAGAAGAGAAATATAGGTACGATTTATAGGTACTACTGAGGAAGGGAAAACACAATTCAAACAGAAGAATTATTTAAATATACAATTGTAGAAAACTCATGTTCTTAAAAAAAGACCTATGCAATGTGCCTGAAGTGAAAGCATTTGCCTCATTCTTGCCAAAAATGGAAGCAGAGGCCCCATGGAGACACATCAAGGACGCCTAGAAATCATTTTTGTCTCTTTCCTGTGCCCCAAAAGGCAGGAGTCCCAAGGCACGCGCGTGTGAGGCCATGGCACACCACTGCACAGCAGTGCCTGAAAAAGGCTGCCTTTACAGGAGCGGGCCACTGCAAAAGTTTAGGCCACGATTTTTTTTTTTTAATTTAAAAACAGATCTCATGCCACATTAGCACGTGCCATTACTTTACAGTAAAAGGATGGTTAATTCCAATGCATTAGCTGAGATAGGCAAATTTTGGTATAAATGCCCCCGAGATATTCTAAGTGACCTGTCCATGCCCCTTTTCCCCAATCTTTCCCTTTCTTTCCCATCTTTCTCCTTTCTCTTGATCCTTTTTCTTAACTAACGCCGTGTTTTTCCTCTTCTTGGTGTAAGGTTTGAGCCTACTAACACTTCTTGACATTGCTTAGCACTGGTGGTGACACTGAGGGACAAAGTAGCTTCCTGGTGCATCCTACTGCAGCAGAGTGGAGCAGGGGACTGAACTGGGGCCTTACAGGTGACCCGATGGGGGACTGACGGGTATGTGAGGGGCCGGCTGTAGGGAGGTGGCAGCCAGAGAGTGGGGGGTGATTCCGAGGTCTTATTGTGGAGTAGAGGGAGAGAAGACCGAGATGGGCGGGGAGTGGCCTTTGTGCACAGTCCCAAAGAAGGAGATGAGTTGGAGTGCCTGGGACTGAGAACCTGGACAGCCCCTGACATGAGGGGAGCATCCCAGACTAAGAAACCTCGGGCAGGCAGGTCAGGAGCCGGCCTTGTTGAGGCAATGGAAAGAGGGGACCAGGGCCAGGGTTTGGACATCCCAGGAAAGAGGAGAATTCAGGGCTCCTCAACTCCATCTAGTTGTAATCAGTTTCCGAAGTCTGCAAACCATTCTTCTTCTCTAAGAATTTCAGGTGTTACCCTGGCCATCATAACCTCAAACACTCGACAGCTCTTTCCACTGAGTGTCAACAACCCGCAGGATAAAATTGTACAGAACTCAGATCTGCTCCCCTTGTAACAGCAGATCAATTCAGTCAGGTCCTTTCCTGTTTTCTGAATCTGCCTCCAGTAAGATGACACTTACTGTACTTATTTCCTCCAAAATAATTTTAGGCAGATGGTGATACTGGAATCTTTCATGTCTTCATAATTATTAGTGCCTATTGGGTACTTTTTTATTCATTCCAGAACCTTAAGATTTCAGAGCTGGATAAAATAATAACACTCACCTAGTTAAAACACCTTTTTTTTTTTTTTATTAGAAGTGAAAACTGAGCATCAGAGGTAGAGGGACCTGTCCCCGTTCACACAGCTAGTGGTGAGAAGAGAGGAACGGAGCACAAGTTTCTGACCTCCAGCCCTGTGCTACCTCTGCAGTTCCAGACCGTCACGGCTGCTGAGTCAGAAACGAACGCTAAGAGGCAGGCTCGCTCAGACAACGGAAACCTCACGGAACATGTCAAGAAACATTTAACAATGATCTATGTTTAGAAATTTCTCATAAAGCGCACACACACCCATCCACACACACACGCACGCTGCCCTCTTCCCTGGCCAGAAAGTGTTTTATACAACCAACCTCATGAATAAACTGTGACAATCTTGTGCTTGCTTTAAAAGGATGCTGACACCGGGAGTTGGACCTGAAGTCCATCTCCAACTTCCCAGAAGAATCATCAGAAACTCCTCGCTCGCTGCCCAGAGGGCGCCCCCTTACTGGGCTCGAGGTTGGGTGGGGATGCAGTGGACACAAGACTCCCGACGGGGCGAGTCTGCGTGCCAGAGCTGAGCAAGCCAGCTGGGGGTTACTCTCGTCTCCCCTTTTCCCTTCGTTATGAGGGCGGACTGTACAGCAACAAATGGTACACAACACACGAGGCTCCGTAACGACATAAACTCTGTATTCGTTTCCTAGCGATGCCATAACAAACTACCATAAACTCGGTGCTTAAGACAACAGGACTTCATCCTCTCACAGCTCTGGAGGCCGGAAGTCTGAAACCCAGGTGTCAGCAGGGCCACGCTCCCTCTGAGAGTCTGCTCACACGGCTCTCCCGGCCTCTGGTGGTCGCCAGAACTACTTGGCGCTCCCTGGCCTGCAGCTGCATCACTCCCACCTCTGCCTCTCTCGTCCCACGGGCTTCTTCCCTCTGCGTGTCTCTGTCTCCAGATCCCTCTCTCCTTACAAGGATGCCAGTCAGTGGATTTAGGGCCCACTCTAACCCAGCACGACCTCATCTTAACTTGATTACATCAAAGACCCTATTCCCAAATAAAGTCACATTCACAGGTACAGGGGGATAGGACTTCAACTGTTTTTTTTTTTTGGAGGAAGATTAGCCCTGAGCTAGTATCTACCACCAATCCTCCACTTTTTGCTGAGGAACACTGGCCCTGAGCTAACATCCACACCCATCCTTCTCTACTTTATATGTGAGACACCTGCCACAATGTGGCTTGATGAGTGGTGCTAGATCCACACCCGGGATCCAAACCTGCAAACCCTGGGCCACCAAGCACCAAAGCGGAGTGCGTGAAGTTAACCACTACGCCACCGGGCCGGCCCCCTCAACATATTTTTTGGGAACACAATTCAACCCATGACAAATAGAATCCAAACAGCTCACTAATCTGTTCTCTGTGACCACTAAGATGCACACTCCATCCTCTTGGGGCGCTCTTGGGGAGAGCCACAGCAGGCAGGCAGTGCTGCCCCCGGCCTCCAGGACGAGGACACATGCTTGCAGATGTCTGCTCACTCTCCTACAGGCCTACTATGTCTGTACATGCTAAGCCTCTCATCCTGCATTTTAAAACCCCTCATTCAATTTACATTCCCAACTTGTGTCTTTCTATGTCTCTTACATCTTGGCTCCAGCATGCACAGTAAATCAAGTGTGTTTGGAGGGTCATCCCAGCCGCTAGTAAAGGCCTTTCTGCCAGCTTCCCACAGCCCACATGGGACGTCACATAAACAGGACCCTGAGACCTTTTGAGGTGATGCAGAGAGGGAGTGTAGAGGTCAGGAAATAGTTCATGTGAGCCACTGGTTTTTGAAGCACACCTTAGCGTTTGGGAAGAAATGGAGAAAAGGTCTCCATTTCTTCCTCGTTCATTTATCTTATCTACACTATTAAGGTTGCAGCCTTCATGCTGTTAGTTGCTGCAATTGGGACCCTTCTCCCTTTCCTTGTGGAGAGCACAGGACGCAGAGGTCGTTTCTCTTAACTTTAAGCTCTGGCGTTGGTGCAGAAGAGAGACTGCCACACGCCTCCCAGGATGCCTCACTTGATCAGCATCAGCTCCGCTGCAGGGTGATTTTGGCTTCACACACAAATGTCCACTCAGCAGTGTTTCTCCAGAGGAAAGCCCGCAGTGGGGTGCAGGGTGACATGATGGGCGCTGTCACTTAAAGAGCTCCAGGTAGTCGGGCGGCTGGTCCTGCTGCCCACAGGGGTACAGAAGGAGCTCTTTCCCCAGGGAAGTTATGGGTTCCTCCTGTGAATCAGAAGGCACAGGTCAGGCTGGGCAGGTTGTTAAGACAGTATAAATAATAATGTCACTCCCTTCCTGTCTCCTCAGAGTGTGTAACTTCCTGCCTACCCTTGATTTACACAAAGCTTTACTGGTTTATGCAATCTTAAAAGAGATTTTTCTCACCCAGAAACTGCCACGTGCTCTCTTTCCGTCCCGGGCTCGAGTTCTAACTTAAGAGTGTTCTCAGATGTGATCAGTGTGTGCACGGATTTTTTAGCATCTCCTATATTCTCTGCCCCAGCGGGGTCCCTGAGTATCTGAGGAGGAAGTAGGTTCAGTGATAAAGGAAACGCAGTTAAGAATCCTGACTATCAGAAGGCATTATCAAAGACTAATCTCCCCATTACTTGTCTCAGTCCTTTTTGTTGTAACTGCCTTTCACTGGCAGCAGGGCAATTCAGAGCAAATGAGGTTGGCGCCTGGGTTCACCTTGTGGTACTCCACCAGCTCGGCCAGGGTACCATGCTGCAGCTGGTCCACGCCCAGGAAGCTGTAGGAGTCCGTGGAGGCGTCGATGAGGAAGTGCTTACAGCCGTCCTGACCCCGATAGGACAGGGCGTAGCCTCTGATCCTCTCGCTGACTCGGATCAGGAAGCTGCCTGGCACGCACGGGCTCAGAAGTTCATTTGCTCTCTTCAGTGTGAGAATACCTGAGGGGAAGAAAAGCAGGTATTTCAGGCAAGTCATTTCCCCAACTCTTTTCCGTTAAACACAGCTGAGTGGGTAAAGTTTAGTAAAAAATAAGAGCAACTTTAAGTCCATTTTGGGCTTCTAGGAATATAGTGCAAGAACACTCATCTCCCGGTGCTTGGTAGCTAGGCCAGGACGGCGTACATAAGCAAATGGACAGCAGAAACGACAGCTTAAATGTTCAACCTTCAGAAGAATACCTTTCCACTTATAACCCAGGCACAAGCACACAGGTGTCAGATGGCTTCTGAGTCTGGCAGCACCCCTGACAGTCACTCTGGGAGTGTTAGATCTGGAAGGGACTGGAAGATGCGCTCCTCAGCTTACTGATGAGGCCTCCACAGCCTGGGAAATGATCCTACTTGGTCTTGCGTGGTGGTTCTCAACCAGGGCAAGATCTGGAAATGTCTGAGACATTGTTGGTTGTCATGGGCTGAGGGGTGCTACTGGAATCCAGCATGTAGAGGCCAGGGGTGCTGCTCAACGTCCCGCAGCGCACAGGGCAGCCCCACACTACAGAGGCACCCCGCCCCACATGCCCAGAGTGCTGCAGCTGAGAAACAGCGGCCTAGGGGTCGGCTCGCTCGTGACAGAACCAGGAGAGACGCAGGCCCACAGAGCACCTGCCGCCATAGCCGCTCCTAACTGATGCTTCCTTGGCATTTAAAGGAGTAACAGTATATATTTGTGTGTGTGTATATGCATGTATACTTACATCTTCATATGTTTGTCTTCTCATAGATTCAAAAGGATGAAACTCTTCAATATACATGAAATTTTATATATATGTATGTATATATGTATATAGTTTAGATGCCTCATGAATTCACACTAATTCAGACCAGGTTTTCCTTAGTTAGTCCAAATTCATGAGGTTTGACCCATATTCCAGATTTCCCTTCTTATTCCTATTGTAATTCTGTGGAGGAATCAATAATGTGCTAAAACATACAGAAAGTGCACGAATATCCTGGAAGACTGTGAAGGGGCGGAATTACCCCGCGAGCTCTGATCTGGCAGGGAGCAGCCTTCTGTCATGCTCTGTTCATTTCAGCCAGTGGAAACTCTCCCTTCTCCCTTCTCTCCTTCTACCACGAGCTCTTTGTCGATACTCAGTATCTTCTCATTAGGAAAAAACAAAAAACCTCCCAGTGAGAAGGCAGTGGATTATCATAGCCCTTTAGTTTTGGTGTTAGTAAAATTAATTGAGAATTGAACCCTAATTGTCCAGAGTAAAACATAAAGTCAAACCATTTCTATTTTCTTGTTTGTAAGGAGACCTTTAATAAAGGAAGGATAAAAAAGCCACCTGTTCTCCTCCAGGCCACACCAACCAACGAGCCCTCCTCCTGCCTTCTCTTCTCCATGCAGCATTAGGAGGCCCAGGCCTGCACCTCAGCGTCGCGGTGCCTGAGGCTCCACCCCAGTGAGACGCGAGTGAGGACCGGCGATCATGAAGAGCTGCAGTGCCCCCAAAGCCCGGAAATTTCCCTGACGTGGAGGAAGACTCCCGGTCCCTCTTCCAGGGCCTTGGTCCTGCTCATCGACGCCCAGCAGGGCCCTGACGCCTGCGCATTATCTCCGTCCCACCCAATTGCCTTCCCACCCCTTCCGTGATGAGACTGAGCCCCCAGAAACTGCAGGCACCACTGCTCCTGAGCAAGCCTCTTGGGTCAGCTGCCGCACCGTCCACTGTAGGTATTCAAATGATGCCACCTAAGCCCCAACAGACAGACCGCTGCGTCTGTTTGCTGGCCTTCCTTTCTGAACACACCTCATCCCACTGGTGAATCACAGATGACAACTAGGTAACCAGCCCACCCTGGGGCTGCACATGACCACGGTCTGAAGACCCTGGAAGTGACTGTCTATGACACCAGGGATATTTCTGACACTGAAATCCCCCTTCAGAGCCGAGGGGCTGATCAACCATGAGTGGAGGAGAAGCAGCGTTCTGGAAGAAGGTTTCTCTCCCAGACTTACTGACAGGCTAACTCTGAAATTCCAAGTGACTTCAACAGATGGGGCAGATGTTATAAATGTTAACATCTGGATCTCATCCAGATGGATTTGGATTCCTAAAATGAAAGCTATTTTGGAAAATTATAACCAAACCTGGGTTCAGCTCAAATTCCTCCTAAAACCAGGCCATGCACAGCTGTAAGTCAAACTGGCGAGAGCTTCTCCGGCGGTTATAACTGCCCATCACACACAGATCTCGGCAGCAGCCCAGCTCTGGAGATGCCAGACACAAGGAAACGACTGGGTGGCAAATCACAGGTCATGACGGAGATCCCCTGAACAAAGTGTTACCAACAGCACGTTCAGGGGTGAGTGCTGTGGGGACCAGGCTTGGCTCTTCCCGCTTTACAGCAGGAGATTATTCCTGAAGGCACTCTCCTGCTGCATCTGACAACACAGGTTGATGTACAATTTGTCATGATCCCATCATGGGCTGTGGGTGCATCCAGGGAGGCCTGGCTGTGATTGCAGCCAAGAGTGAGCTTTGCCCACAAACGAAGTTTTTGAGTGCAAAGCCAAAATCCAGTGTCAGATATTAATCACTGTGAACTTGGATGGCCTCCTCACAGTATTTTTCATCCCCTGATTTGCCCTGTGCATGACTCTAAGAATTCTGAGCAGTGGTCTCCAGCCCCGCTACAGGCTGAGAAACCTCCAGGCCGCCTCCCTCTGACCAGCTCTCTTCACACATATTACAAGAACCAAACCTAACTGAGGTCATGGGAGAATTTCTGTGGTAGTAAATAAAAAGCTTTCTTTTACTTCATCAATGTTTGAAATGAACCAGATCTCCACCCAGCAACGATCTGTCTGTGTTAGAGCTGACCGGGCAGGGTGTGGCAGGACCTCGGCAGTCCAGAAGATGGCAGATGCTCGACCACAAGGCCTTCCTGGACAGCTCCTGGCTCTGAAGAGCCTGGGGCAGAGCTGGGCTGCAGGTCCTAGAGCCTGAACACTCAGCTCAGAGGTTCCTAACAGCTGGAGTTGTGAGGGCGCAAAGAGGAATGTCCATCTTCTCTCTCTGCAGGATGCCAGGTGCCCTATAGAGCAGTCCCATTAACAGAATGTCCATCTTTTCTCTCTGCAGGATGCCCACTCGCCTCTAGAGCAGTCCCATTCAACAGACTTCTCTGTGATGACACACGTCTGTGCTGGCCAGTGGTATCCACTAGCCGCATGTGGCTACTGAGGACCTGAATTGTGGCTAGTGCAACTGAAGGACTCGACTTTTAGTTTTAATTAGTTTTGATGTAAAGAGCCACATTTAGCTAGTGGTTACCCTATTGGACAGCACAGCTCTAAACCCCTCTGGAGTGAAGGACAGGCCCAGGAGAGCTATTTTTGCAGAGGAGAGGGTAAACAGACCCCAAGAGAAGTGAAATAACTCAGAAACCCTAGCAGGGTCCTGGTTGGAAATCCAAGTGGCAACAACCACCCTACAGAAGGAGGGAGGTCAATGGGATACCCTTCTCCACAGCTTCCTTCTGGAAAATGCCTACTCATTCTCCAAGATTCAGCTCACTAGCTTGGAGCTTTCTGATTCCTCCCTGAGCTGTTAAGTCTCAGGTTTCTCTAGGCCTGTGGAGCACCTGGTTCCCACCTCCTTCTGAGCACTCCCCTGGTCTGTGGAAGGTCTCGCCTGGTTCCCACCTCCTTCTGAGCACTCCCCTGGTCTATGGAAGGTCTCGCCTGGTTCCCACCTCCCTCTTGGCACGTGCCATTCACAGCTCTATCAGAATGCTCCCAGTACATTCTGTTCTCTCTCCCTCCCCCACCTCCTTGTGAGCTCCTAGAAGACAGCTACCACATATTTATTTTCACACCCTCAGCACCTGCCACTTTGAAGACACCCAGGAAAGGTCTAACAAATAATTTTGTCTTAAAATCATCAGAAACTTCCTTCTCTAGGACACTTCTATGCAGCCACTGCCTGTAGTTCGAGACTTGTTGTCATAGGAACAAAGGATGCACTTCACATTTCTCTGAAGCACCTGCAGGCATCACTTTATTTACATATGTACATCTTTTAATGTGACTTATTTCTAGTATCTGGAAAATAAGTGTTTAAAAACCAAATGAAGGGGCTGGCCTGGTGGTGTAGTGATTAAGTTCGCACGTTCCATTTCGGGGGCCCGGGGTTCACAGGTTCGGATCCAGGGCACAGACCTAGCACCGCTCGTCAAGCTACACTGTGGCAGGCGTCCCATATAAAATAGAGGAAGATGGGCACAGATGTTAGCTCAGCGACAATCTTCCTCTCATACACAAAAAACAACAAAAAACCCAAGTGAAAGATAACCAAATCGTAAGAGCACTTAGAATTTTAGCATCTGCCTGACACCCCTCAAAGCGTGCACTGCCTCATTTAATCCTCCGAGTGGCCTGGCAACGAGGTACTGTTACTGCCCTCCAACAGAAAATGAGCAAACCTGCACCGTAGACAGCGCATTAACGTGCCCAAGATACTCAGCTAGGCTGGGAGCAGCGCTGGGCTCGAACCCAGGTGGTCTGACCCCAGAGCCCCGGTCTCACCCACTTAACCAGAACAGCTGCCCCTGCGCCAGCGCTTCGCACTGCTCAAGAGGCTTCCATTTACTATTTCATTTAGCCCTCAAACAACCCTAAAATAAGCAGAACCGATATTACTGTCACTGCCATTTTACAGATGGGAGAACTGAGGTAGAAAAGGTACAGGGTTATATAGGATTAGTTGGCGATGGTTTCAGGCCTCTTGTCTCCCACTCCAGTGTTTTTTTCTTTTTTCTAGTGTTTTGCTTTTTAACCCACAGGGCTCATCAAGTTTTTCTGGAATTGGCTGAAAATAAAATATGAGCACTTATTACCCAAAGAGATGTTCATTTCTCACCTGGGCAACTTAAAGAGCATGCATTTTTCAGTGATTATCTCAATGCAGTCACTTGGGGACGAGGCACCAATG